ACAGTTCGTCCATATTCAACAGATTGCATACTCAAGTGCAATTTGAAAGTCTTATTGATCAGATCAACGATCTCACACCCACATCACCTCAGGAATCTACAGTTCTTGATTGTTGTCATCAGTTTACTAGTTCAAATCCTAGCCCGAATAGTCTGAACTTGAAGAACTAGAGAAGAATGATGATATTATAATATGCCGTCCAGACAAAGGTGGGGGTGTTGTAGTCATGAATCTCCAAGATTATAATGATAAAATCTCAGCGATTCTTTCTGACTAAATGAAGAGTCCCAAACTAGGACGAAACAGCCGTCCACTACTCCCAGGTTTTCCAATGGTTCTCTAACTAATGTCAGCTCATGATGAAATCCTGTAACCAATCAATCGAATCCCTACAAACCAATACTTGAATATAAATGAAATTCGCCAAATCCGATGGTGAAAAGAACAAGACACTTCTAATTGGAAAACAACTGACTGATGTCTCAAAGGACATGAGGAATAAGTCAGTAATCTCGTCAGAAATATACAAACGCATCCGACCAGTAAGCTCCATGATACCACGTTTGTATGGACTACCGAAAATTTACAAGATAGGATTACTCCTCAGTCCAATCCTAGATATGGCGGGTTCTCCTTATCACGGAATCGCAAAATGGCTAGCTGAAATACTGGAAGCAGTTAAAAGGCAAGTATCTAAGTTTACCACTGATGACAAGTTTAAATTTATCGACAGCATTAAAGATTTTAATGTCTCAGACAAAGTCTTGTTGTCATTAGATGTGACGTCGCTACTTACCAATTTAACTCCTATGGAAACTGTTTTGCTATTTATGTGATTATATTGATACACATAGTTTAGAAATAGGGCTGCCGACAATCCACCTCAAAGAGCTTTTATTGAGATCCACCTTGAATGTTAAGTTCACCTTGAATAATGAGACTTTAGACAGAGGGATGGCATTGCCAATTGGGTCACCACTGGGTCCCCTGTTGGCTGGTATGTTTTATGGCAATGCTTGAAAATTCTCAACTTAGTCAAACCATCGATCATTTTGACATTTATAAAAGATACGTAGACGACACTTTCGTCATCTGCGATAATAACGTAATTCTTGATGATGTCTTGTTCGCTTTCAACAACTACCATCCTTCTTTACAATTCACCATAGAAAAGGAATCCGAAATAAGTATTCCGTTTTTTGATGTGTGCCTTAGCAGACGTAATGATGGATCTCTCAAAAGATCTATCCACCGGAAACGCACATGGAACGGACAACTACTTTTTTAGTTGGTTGCCTGTCTGCTACCTAATTTGTTCGCTCTGCTTTAGGATAAGGAACATTTGTAGTTCTGATTGCGTTGACTCAGAACTTGACTTTCCAAAACCTACGCTCGCAGAAAACAGTCACCCTAACCGATTTATTGACGGTAACATGAAGATAAGATAAGCAGTCTAAACTGGTCACCGACTTAGTTCCAAAGTAAACCGTATTCATGAACTTGGAATTCAAAGGTGATCAAGCTTCAGATTTGCTCAAAATCGTCTCAATAAAGCAATTAGTAAGACGTTCTTTGCATATGACGTTCACCAGCCGCAAGTTGTTCTCTACCTCTGTAAAAGATAATTCCCCCCATCTGGCCGCCTCTATGTGCATCTATCAGTTCATCTGCTCTTGTGGAGCAAGGTACATTGGCCGTAGTCAGAGGAAACTTTCCACACGGATACGAGAACATATTCCAGTATGGTTTTACAAAGGAAGAAAAGAAGTGTGTGCGAAGCTCTATTCTGGAACATCTGATCGACTTCTGTCACTCTGCACCAACCCTGACCATGATTTTAAGATCATATATAGAATTCATGCTAACTTCCCGCGTTTTCTTCGTTACAGATTTCTAAAGACAGCTGAGGCCTTGACAATTCATGACTTTAAACCAGACCTTTGTGTACAAAAGAAGTATGTACAATCCCTACTTCTACCTTGGCCGTAGGTGGATAGACATTTATTTATTTTGTTTATTTAGTTATTCTATTTACTTTTCCCTTATTACTACGATTATTATTATTCTCACTTTGAATTGTTCTCACTTGACTCACTTGTCATTTTAAACCCAAAATTATTCATTTTTATATTTTTACAATATTGAATTCTATCTTATCAAATTCCACACCATGTTATGTAACATTTTAAATTCGTCTACTAATCTTATAATTATGTATCTCTTTCCAAAATCTATATGCCTTATGTATTATTCTATATATGACATTAATTATCTTGTCACTTGACATTAAAAACTATGAATATAATCTCAAATATTTTAATCACATTTCATACCATCATTATTTCATGTATTCACACCCTTGACCTAATTCCCTCACCGAATATAATTTCTTAAAAAACCACATATATACGATTGTACAGCTTGATAATAAATTCGTTGAAAGGAGTCTCTTCGCTGAATATTATGTTCTTAATCAGTGGTTAAACAGTTCACAGGCGTTGTTCTAGAAGCCACTACTCGCATATGCCTGTACACCATAGTATCATTGCACTTGATGCCTCCTTAAGTGTATCGACTTGCATAGATGCAACTCTACTCAACGTCCTACACTGATTTGTCATGTTGTAGTCATTACACGTCATGCCCACCTCCAACTCGCCTTCATTTTCTCCTCACACCTTTCTTCAATATAAAAACAAATGGAATTTTCAAATTTTCCACTGCTTTTCTAATCGTACTCCTTGTCGACAGAGAATGTTTCGGATAATACAAACAGGATTTGTGACAAATGACGACAAAGTGACTTGTCAGACGCGAAATATCAAGGCATGGAGACGTGTTAGTTGAATGCGTCAAAGAACAATACGACACTCATAAACCCATACCATTGTGCAACTCCGACTCACTGATCCTAAGCACTCGACTATTAACTATGCGAGTTAAGAGTTGGAAACCTTCTCCGTCTACCGAAAATTCGGTGGTCAGGTAGTATAGTTACCCAACACATAGACTCATGAGGCATGAATTAATGGCAACTGCAGATGAATGAAAGTGCTTTCTGGTTAGTACGGAAATACCCACTCCATACGACAGTCACAACTGATATATATAGAATCTCCACACACACACACACACACACACACACACACACAAAGCTATTCGTTTGCATATCGATACTCAACACGTTCTCCAGTTTATTCTACGCATATTAATATATGGTATTGAAAATTATTAACAGACAGAAGTAACCTAGATGGCTATACTTTGTTAAGGCAGTTGTCATTAAACGATTGAAACTAAATTTATATGCCCAGGAAGATGGTGGTGATTCGTGAACTGACTCGGTATAACAAAATATGCAATTCGATTAAGCCATCTCCCGTCCTATTGAGAAAATCTCTCTTTCATCTGGACATGACTCACACTACCTCGTTTTCGCCATTTTATAAAAGCATATTTTCTGTAGTCACGTCACCTACTACATTGTTATACCCTCCTTCCACAGTTAAACTATCTTTCTCAACTATTGATCACATAACAACTTACATCATTTTGGACTTATGTTACGCTTTGTTCCTTCCTACCAATCAACTCCATGGAATCACGAAAAAAGTATGTTCAAATTTTGAATATAATAATTTGTATTCAAGTGTTGGTTTGTAGGGATTTGATTGGTTTCAGGACTTCATCATGAGCTGACAGTAGTTATAGAACCATTGGAAAACCTGAGAGTACTGGACAGCTGATTCGTCCTATTCTTGGGACTCTTCAGCATTACGCACCCACCGACTAGGGTTCAAACCCAGGACCTTCCGGTTACAAGGCGAGCTCGTATACCATTAAGCCACTGGGACCCGATCCAATGGTCCTTGAATTCTAACTTCCGCCAATTCACGACATAGCGCGACGGCTAGTCAATGTCTTCGGCGAGTATTTGTCCTCACACCCGACCAGCTGCACCCTACTGTATTTTTAGATTGTTCAGGTTGCTGCTGCCAATTGAGGCGAATCCTCGAAATAAGAAAAGATGAGAGATGAAACTATCCTGATACATTTCTCGTTTTTGCTGTTTTTAAATACACGGTAACCAACCGTCTAGCTCAACATTTAGAAGACAAGATGAAAGTTGACATCCTAGACATATTGCTAAACTGGCGAATAGAATGACTTATTCCATCAGCACGAGTGGCGAATAATCTACACAAACACACACCCCCAACACACACATAGTGCGCTCACAATCAAACCTCTTGATAACTTTCACTGCAAAACTAGAAATAAAATTTTAACCACCTATTTATTTAACGCCTACGAAAATCTCAGTTATGCATAACGAGTTGTCAGGATCATGACTAGTAATATCACCCAGTCAACCAGACTAAAGTAGGTGGTGTGGAACTCGAAGCTTGCGAGCCATTCGATGTAGCTGAAGCACTCGAGCCTGCTAAATGAGGCATATTTCCCCAAAAAGGTTAACGAGGAAAAATCTATTCCATTTCCATTTGCATACACCAACATAGCAGCAGCAGCAGCAGCAGCTTACAAACGACAGTCTCTCGAAATCTTCTCATCAGCTATCCAACTCCCTCCCTATTTATACTGGCTACTCAAAAAGAGCTCATCAGGGTAACTAGTAGTACTCAGTCAGACATACTGCTGAGTAGAGTCACTCACAGTGAATGTACACACGACTGAGACATTTAATTAAAATACTCAATAACACGTAAACAATTCAAGCCCTCAGCTCACATATACGCGAGTGATTTACTCCTCAAAATGCACATAATAAAAATACACTACGAATAAGTCGAAGCGAGCTACAATAACAACCGAGGCAGAACCACATACTCTACACCATCCTATACTGTTATCAATCATGTCATCCACCCACCCACTCACTTGCTCGCTCACATCCACCACCACCCTTACCCTTGTATACTCACCGGAAATACACAAAACGGATTTTGAGAAATGTGAATTAAACAATGAATGATTAACGCCAAAATAAAGCACGCTGATATAAATATATAAAAAAACAAAACAAGAAATGAATCTTTGTGTGCATGTCTGTATGTGTGTGTGTGTGAGTAGAAAGGTCAAGGTAGGCGACAATTAGTCTCTTACAAAACGGCTGAACTCTTACAAATATAATAAAAAAAAGTTCTATGGTAGTAAAAGTATGAAATGCAAATGTTATGAAAAGTTGACAATAACAAGTAAAACATAATTTTTATCATTATTGTTAATACTTTTGATACAATTAAGTAATAGATTTCACTTTATGTAAAAAAACAAACAACAATTTGAGATTCAGGAATTATAAAACGAATTTACAAGGCTCCGCATCCTGTTCATCCAACTCATCCTCCTTTCTTCTACATATATATACAAAACAATGCTAAAACATCTGTGTGAACACACAATTCACTTGTTGTGAATAATAATAATAACCATTGAATGGAATGTGTTGATGTGTAAACAACGCCATAATACGAGGACAGGTCACGTGGCGTTGAACATACATCACAGTGAAAGAAATAAACACGCAAACACACACACACGGATGGGAAGTATTTTTATCCTGGACAGGAATCCTGTGTCTGCCTTTCAGGTGTGTGTGTGTGTGTGGTCCATGTGAATATGACTCAAATAGGACTCAAATCAAAGGAGAAGGGCGTCGACTCAGTTCCATGTTCACCTATTTCCCTCAATAAAAATTCAGCCTTTGAAGCTATTTCGTCTTCATCAATATCACTAACATTGACACTGGCACAAGTCGAAGTTGTACAATCCAGTGGATTTATGGTTGAATGGAAGGAGGAGGAAACGGAGGCGGAGGCGGAGTTAACATACGATCCCTTCACCATCATCTCTTCTATCAAAGCTGTAGCTGCTACCCAATCCTCATCAACAGGAAAATAAGACTCATTCAACTGGGTATTTCGATCACCCGAACATTCAGTAAACCAATAAGTGCTCTCATCCTGTTCTTGTAAAATGCTTGACGACAAACGTTCATTGATTGGATGAAATAGATGAGAAGGAGGAGAAGCAAGTGGTGAAATATCCGACAAAGGCTTACGAGACCGACGCCAACAACGACACCGTAAACGACAAGCACTCCTACCACCTCGCGGATCATCATTTTCCCAATCTTCCGTATTATTACAGGCATTTCGGTCAATACAACCCTCATCGATGACAATCTTGTCAACATCTGTGGCAGTATCCACCTGTAGCTGTACATCCACACCACTTCGTTTTCTCTTGAAGAAGCACCTTTCACAAATTGAAGGATCACTGAACATTGTCGTTTCTGACAATCGATTACGCCTATCGTTTTCAGTTTTATTTAGTTGTCTTATACGATAATTAGGTGAAAATGGGACACTGTAAGAAAGGGGATCTGAAGATGTCGCACCTGGCCTGTATTGCAAATCTAGATTCTGCTGCTGCATTGATGGCTCTAAAAAACTAACACGATGACCGTGTTCCACGCGTACAGGTACCAAACTCTCATCTTCATCACGACAAACGGAGAGAGGGTTATGACTAATTCCTGAATCATATCCTACTGAGGTTAAACGCCGCTTTTTGTTAGCAAGAAAATGCTTCTCAACACAATTCTTCACCAACGTATATATCTCACCAGCTGAAAAACCCAAAAGTTCCTTCAAATCACACTCAAATTTGTAAACGCGACGTTTCCCATGAATCTATAATAAGAAAACAAAAAGGAAATATTTCAAATAATTCAAACAACTCACTGTAATGGAAGTCGGTAAGGTCAAGTGTTAATATGCATATGGATTGAATTAAATCATCAATTTCACAAAGTCACTCACTCAATCACCGTCTGCATATTCTCCATTTCTCACCGATAGCTGCTGCACATCGCAATGACCCAGAAAGCTACACTGGCTGGAACTATTATTCCTGCAGGTCACACCATGTCAAGAAGGTTGTTAAGATAGCGACTGGGCTAAAAGCACTTACCACTATAGTGTAATATTCTTCTTTTTTACACTATGCTGGGGGTCTGTGGGCGAAGTCGTACTACCACTGGGGAAGAGGGATGTAATAGCAGTGAGGTGTTTCCCTCAGATGACTAGCACGCCAGCCACCAATGCTGTCTCTTCATTCTGCTGTAGAGAAGGGTTTAGAAAAGGTTGACTTAAAAAATTGTACATCACAACCTGCCCCACCTGCGGTGTTCCGTAACCGGTGGTAAGTTAACGAATACGGAAACAAACCAAGAAACTAGTTCATACAGCCCGTGTACCGCGGCCTCTGCGGTCACGCAACACTAACGCTTTTTCTGTTTCAGGTATCGGAGGAATCAATCAACTTCCACGGTGTGGGAAGCCGGGAAGTAACAACCACCCACACACTTCAAAAACACACGAAGCCTTCCTAAGCATCATTCTCCTTTATTCACATCACCTTCCTCATCATGCTTCTCTACTACAGTCAGTACTATTCTGCAGGCTAGCGAATCATCTTCACTTCACTCTCTGACCACAAACAACGGTGAGAGACATAGAAACACCCCCGACAACCTCCTTAAGCCACGTCACCAACTTCATATAGGAGCATTTAACGTCAGGACGCTCTCCCAAATCGAAAAACACGCATCGCTAGCCAGTACTCTGGCATCTCGAGCCATGGATGTATGTCGTGTCTCGGATACGCCCATACAAGACCCGAGTGTCGTCACTCACTTAACCCAACCCCACGCCACCCCACATGGCCAACAAGGTGAATCTTCAAAATTCACTCTAAGGGTGTCAGAAGACCCCTCAGCTAGCTTGTGAGGACTCGCAGGTTTAGGAATAGCTTTGAGTCTTAGGGCAGGAAAATCACTTCTTGACTGGATCCCTGTAGACAGCCGTATGTGTGAGGTCCGTCTGAACGGGTCCATTAGAAGAAGGAAGGACGGCGTTACCCGTCGTTGACTTTTCGTAGTCTCCACTTACACACCAATAGACTGCAGTTCAGATGAACTAAAGGATGATTTCTACCTGAAACTGTCTAATTTGCTGTAAAAAGCAAAACCTTCAGATATGGTTGTTTTAGCAGGCGACTTTGGTGCCCAAGTAGGAAAGTTGTGCCAGACTGAGAAGTATGTAGGTGGTACACATGGAGCTCCATGCCGGCGATTCGACAACGGTGATCCACTTCTACACTTCTGCTCAGATAATCGTCTGTTCCTAGTCAGTACTAACTTTAAGCACAAAGACAGATACTGCGCAACCTGGTAACCTCCATCACCAAATCAACGCTATACTCAGCTCAGATTGACCACATAGCGATAGGGTATCGTTGGCGAGGGTCAGTAGAAGACTTCTGCTTCTTTTGGAACACGTACGTAAACTCCGATCACGCTCTGGTCCGCGCACGTTTATGAGACACTGAGTCCCTATTTAAGCAGGAAATAGCGAAACGTGTATCTGAAGTCAACAGCAAGACTCCCCCTGAGGTAGCCTGGCACAACATACAGTTAGTTAGCTGTAGACACAGCTGGAAAAGCTGTTAGTAAGCTAAAACCGAAAGTTAGTAAAAGCCATTGGATCTCTACTGACTCATTCGAACTTACTGACGCAAGAACGCTGATTCCGGGGAGCTCAGATCATCATAAGGAGTGGAAGCTTTTCAAACTCAAACTAACAGGGAAGCCATCGCAACGACTGCGAACAGTGTTGGCTGGCCACAAGACCGAAAGAGATGGAAAACGTATCGGTGATCGGTAACACCGGGCAACTTTTCACACCTATCAGGGAAACAGGTGCTAAAAGGCAAACGATAAGTGAAACAGTGTCTGAGAAAAGTGGAACCTTAGTTAGCTCCCATGATAGGCGACCAAAACGTTGGAAAGAACACTTTGACGAGCAGTTTAATTGGCCTACAGCCATACTCAACCTACCGAACATCCAACGCCTCCCTGAATGGGATACAAACACAGGTCCTCTGTCCCATAACTAAAGTTACTAAGGCTGTCACTAGTCTGAAACGAGGCAAAGCAGCATCACCCGATGGGATGAATCCAGAGGTATTGAAGTACAGTGGGGACAGTTTACTGTCTGAGTCCACTAGGTTACTAGGAAGAGCCTGAGAATCAGAGACAGTCGAGTTGGGTTGGTGTAAGTCACTGATTATCCCCATATACAAGAAGGGATACAAGTCTTACTGTGATAATCACAGAGGGATTAGCTTGACTAATATAGTATCTAAAGTCCTAGGCTCAGTAATAATTCGTAGACTAAGCGGTGCTCAGGAGGCACAAACAGGAGAGAACAGGCAGGTAGGCTTTAGACCAGGAAGAGGGTGAGGGCTTACAGCGAGTTGTCATATGAAGTGGTGATGGCTAGTGATGTTCATCAGGGGTGCCCACTATCCCCATTTCTATTCAATTTCATCATAGATATCATACTAATGGACTGAAGCCTAACTCAAATCAGAGACTCAGGCATTGACTTGTTACCAGGGAATAGTAGTCTCGTTGACTTAGAATATCCAGATGATAGAGTCCTCCCTCCTGGGTGAAGACGGTGACAAAATGCACAGTCTTCTGAACACCTTGAGCCGCAATCTTCGAATGTTTGGCATGCGATTCTCTCTCCCTGTCAAATGTAAGATGATGTTACAGAACTGAAATACACTGACTCCTAGTTTAGAAATAGCGAGTGAAGTGGTGGAGCACGTTGACCACTTCACTTATTTGAGAAGTTGTATCAGTCACCGCCAATGGCTTGATCTCAGACGAAATCTAAGCACTAATATAGAGGGCTACTTTCGCATATGCTTGTCAGTTCACACCGTCCTGGCTTAGTAGACCTGATATCCGGCTGGCTATCGACCAAAGGGCGGAAGTCCTGCTCAGTAGTCTGCTCCATCCTCCTTTATGGCTGTGAATGAGACACAGCCATTGAGAGTGGGAGACATAAAAAGCTGGCTAGCTGTATTTGGTCATAGGTGCCTGCGTTCTATCTCTCGTGTAAAGTGGCAGGTGTAATAGGGTGAGCAATATTGAGGTTAGACATCGGTCGAGTGCTAGGTAGGTGGGAGGAAAAATCAATCGACGAAGCTGTGAAGTTACATCGACTGAAATGGTTAGGACATTTATTACGCATGGACGCCTAGTCATCATCTATTGGTTTCCTCGACAATGGGAAATGTTGGCTGACTGACATAGGGTTAGGCTGGAAAAGAGCTAGCTATCTAGTGGTGGTCAAACCAAAACATCGCTTCATCAGTCAATCAAATCCAAAACAGTTAGTTTGAGCCATCCACGAAGGAAGGAGTAGACTTCCTGTCTGATTGGGATCTTAGGGACGGTAAACACCAATGAAGGCTGGAGACAATTGGTGATATGGCTGGTTCAAAATCTTCGTTCTCAATAGCTGGCGAACGTGCATCCACTCTCTTTGACTAATAATTTCCAATGAAACTATATTGTTCTTCGTTATTACTATTCCTTTTGTCTCATATCTCTTTCTACTGTCCCTATTTTGCATTTCTTCACACTTTCTTCTCTTCCTTTGTGTGCTACACAGAGGGAGTGTGGCGACTTGAACTGATGCACATCGGTGCAAAGTCCTATGTCGAAAACAGATAGACAGACAGCATTCTCTATATGCTCTTCTAACATTTATTCCAGGACTCTTATTCACTTCACTCAAATCTAATCTGGTAAACAAACCAAAAAATAAATATTCCACAAGGTTAGAAATAAACACGATCCTCTCACATTAAAGCGTGGTTCAGTAGGTCAAAGATCACCAAAATACTTCCGAGATAAGAATACAACTAAGAATCGAATTATTGAGTCAAACCAAGAGAAAGCTGCTGCTTTATACAGATAATGCACTTCATACCGTCTACACACACTCATATAGCATACTTTATCCCTCAGGTTTGTGGAAGGAAGGCAATCTAGTTACATGAGTGAGACATTCGAATAGATTTCCAAATCTTATCCGTTATGTTTACGTCATTGGACATTACAATGTCAAATGTGATATGCGGTGGAAGTGTTCATCTCAAAAGTGAAAGGGCGAATGTGAAAGTCTGGAGGACTGAAGGGTGTGGAAGACCGGCTAGGGGAGTTGGAAACTTCTGGTTCTAAGCTTATTTTGTACATGGACTTCAAGAATTCAAAAGGATCGAATGGCATATGAACCTGTTTAGGTCGCCGTCAACCGTGGAAAAGTAGCTTCTTACACTGTCTCACTACCTTGTGAATCGGGCGTTAACTAGAAAGCACCGGCAATCGCTTCTTATGACAACAACCTACCTACTTCCGTCTGGCAGTCCAGGACGTATTTTAACTCTCGCACACAAAGAGCATGATACTTCGGCAGGTGAATCTCTCTTAATGCCCATAATATGTACGAAGTCTGTGCTCTCGCAGTAGTATTGGTAACTATGTCATACGTAAATAAATATAGTATAATAGCATGACCATGTATGTTTAACTCAAATTCGTATTTAATACAGAAAGTCGAATAAATCTATCTATCTATCTATCCCTTCAGTAATAAATGCACACATGAATACATACTACAGATTACCAGACAAATGTTACATATAAACGAAAAATCTCTTAACACGATAAATGGCATATGTTAGTGAAAGCAAATCTATAAAAACCAGATACCTTGGAAATCATATCACCATCATAATAGTAACGTAATGCACGAGATAATTTCTCCCAATTCATAGCAGGTTTATTCTTACGATGACCCCACATAGAAGCTACTTCTTCTGGATTACTTAATTTGAATTCACCATCATCACTGACCCAGTAAATATATTCACGATATCTCCAGTCTGTAAGTAATTCTAGCAAGAATCGCCACAGTTCAACTTGTCCTGCAGTCGTGGCGTCGTAATATAGAATTCTTTGTGAGATATAATTACCACCATTATTTTGAGTTAATATAAATGGACCCTATGAAAAAATATTAAAAAAAACTCATTGATAAAAAATAACGAAGAAGTGAAAATCTATCAACTTTCAGTTACCAACTATCTGATCAGAGAGCATGAGGTACTGCCCTCACTCACTCACTCACTCATCCAACTTACCACAGCTCCTCTGATCATTTTTGGCTGATGTATCGAACAGTTCACCTTAGAAGACAACCTTACACGTAAACTTAGCCACTAACACGTTAAAACACTCATTTCAGCACCTCGAAAGTGCGCGCTGTGCATGTAGACTTCAGTAGTCTTCACCGGTCTCTCATAACCCTGAAATATTTGTCACATTTCAACTTTATAAGCATATTCACTAACTTGAGATGTTATCAGACACAGTCATCATCACGTTAAAGCATTCTTTCATTAGAAACATAATACTTGTTCAGTCTGATTCCATTTCTATCTCTCCCTCTCTCTACACTCAAAACTGTTCAAAGTTTCTTCCTCCCCTCTGGCTTCGCATAATTTTCCTTCTCACAGCCAGTCACAGCATTATAACCACACATATACTCTACCAAAATTATACTGCATAATACAAATAAATAATAATGTGTCATCCACAATTATGGAGGTTTGTACTTTGAAGTCAAGAGCTTATCATCATCATCATCACCTGAAGTAAGATGAATCTTCGAAGGACAATTGAAGTAGTCTACCCACCTTTTTAGTATTTCCACATAAACGAATATCTGAGAAATTCAAACAACAGTTCAATGGGAAACCCATTGTTATGTACTCGTCGAGTAGTTATTAGTCCTGACGCGTGAAAGAGGGAAATCAGAAGATCACCAGGTTTACGATGATACTTGTATTTTCCAGACAAGGAAAATAAATGTCACACAAGAGTGTTAATGAAATGGTACGTAGTGTACGAAACGTGGGAACAAGTATACAGTACAAAAGTATATATGAAAATGACTAATACACATGAACCAATAAATAGACAGTCTTAACATGATTGGTTGTAATGTCATGTGACAACAAGGTCATACATGTTTATTTAGTTAGTGGACAGACAAAAGCATATTGTCAGTTATAATGAAATATCGATCTACATACACATAGAAAAATATAATAGACTGTCAAAAACTAAACACACATAATGTGGATACATGTCACCCATCCTATCGCGTCAATAAAAAAATCTGATGAAAATCTGTTGACTAATGGAAAATGATGATGCCTAAACTCGGCACATAAACTTAATTGTCTCAATCAAGACAGATTCAGGGACGTTGAGGTAATCATTGAAATCCTTGAGTGACAATTCTGTCTGTCCACAATATCAAGCAGTCGACGTTCAAAATCCTCAGTATTATTATTATTATTTGAGGAAGTGAACCGATGCTTTTGTGAACTCAGCTAATATAGGGAGACAATACGCCTATTCATAAACAGTTCACTTGTACGAACGATAAAGTTTGTGTGGTAATCCTGTGAAAATATTCACATGAAATGGGAGCTAACTAGGAAGGAATAACATCACCATTCCTCTTCCCATACTTATCTAAAATGAGATGCATGAAAGCCATTCAAATAAAACAATTCAGTATTCAAAACAAACAAATACAACTCATGAAAACAACTTCTTATACGCGTCGACTGATTCTCACCAGCACAACCCCACACTACTAACACCATTCAATGATGAACGTATTTCATGCAAAGCATTATTCATTATCTCATAATTGGCTGGATTTCGGCTTATACAATTTTCACTATTCAAAAATGATCGCAACGTCACCAATCCTCTTCCAGGCGTAGTTATCGACACACTCATATTTGAATCATTCATTATTATACGATGAAAAGTTTGGTTTTGAACTAACCTTGCGTGAATTTGTATCATTTCCATCGCAGGCAATTAACGCGCCAGAATATGATGGTGAAAAGGAAACGCCTGCTAAAGTGAGCACAAAAAACCAACGAAACATCTGATATGGTACATAACATTCACTTAAGAATCATACGACAATGTACAAGCAAAACAATTACAGTCTTCTTTCCACATACTAGACTATCAGGCCACACACAAAATCTTTCAAGTATTAGACAATCAGTCGCACCGGATGTGTTCCAATCCGGCTTCCCAACTCCATCAATTGGAGAAAAGCATACTTCAGCATAACAGTCACAGGAGGAATGTGACACAGACATGAAAAGTGAAGCACGTTAGTAATAACACTCAGACGACACACAATCATCTGTAGACAACGGAGTAAGATTCAACCTGCATTCACACAAATCCATGTGACTAGCATCCTCAGACTAAATCTTCGTTTCTACCTTGAATCTGTCTGCCATAATAAAAACTCCTTGCTCTACGGCTGATTAGGTCTCTTTTCTGGCTTTTCTGTCTGCTCAATTTCCACATTTCTGTTTTCTCTCCTATTTCGTCTATTTATCTAATATTCCTGAGTAATCTACGGCTTTTCGTCTCTCCTCAGCTTGATGGATTTAAAGTCCTTCAGCAGCGACACGATGTATTCGTCAACATAAACTATCAATCACGTGACTTCACGCGCATTCGCCTTAATCCATTCATCAAATGGATAACAACGTACAGCAAATTATCAACTGGGACAAGGTAATAAGTCACCCTTTGCTCAGGCAACTAACAAAACGCCACGCAACTACTCACTCAAATATCACATCAAAAACAGCATATACGACAACATAAGTGGATGGATGAAATCATTAGGAAATCTACACGAATAATCGCTTACATTGGACTTCATCAGGAAAGAGACTAATGCATACATCATTCACAGATAATTAATTCCAAAAGTTCACTTCCCATTGAAGTTATCGCCGCAAATAATAACTAGAAAGGAAATCGAACCTATGCAGTTCAACCATTCCTTCACCTCACATAATACAACAAAATTAAATACTACTTAATGATCTACAAGTATTCATTATCCTTTCAAATGTACACTTCTCAGTCGATACGATTCACCGAAGTTTGACTGATAGAATTCAGTCTGCACTAAACAAAGGACTAGACACGTTACACTAGTTGTTGAGTGGTGTTCAATCAAAAAATATCCAATACAGTCCCATAAGAGGTCAATGACGGGAGTGAATAGCTAGAGGCTCAGTGATAACCTCTCTGACTGCAGCACTCACTGGGTGAGTCGGGTTTGAATCTCACAAGGGATAGATGCGCATTGCTCACTGGTGACTGCCAGCTGGCACGAAACCTAGCTCAAGTAGGATTTCCTGGCAAATGCCCTAACCCAACCGTCTATCTAATATTCACTACTTCCATCGGTTTTTCCTATCCTAAATTTCAAATAAGGAATTCAACCGAGCTATAAAACATCACTGATGAATAACCTGTCGGATGAGCGTGTAATCCATATCGTTAAGCTATAACAACAACGTATTAGGTTAAATGTCCCCAAATTCTACTTGAATAACAAACAAACAATCTACCAATTTAATCACTTACTTCTGTTCCAACTCCAACTCTGATTGGATCCAGTTAAGTTTGTTGAACGAAAAAAACTAGACTTAAACGTATGCCTTCTAAGCTTGTCATCTCGTTGCCGTTGTGGACTATAAGGAACACCTGAAGTGAAAAGTGCATGGGTTGTTATTAACTAATATCAACCGAAACACACAATATGCACTACTGATATGTATCCACATGATGTGTGTTTTGTTAGTGACAGTCTATTATATTTTGCTATGTGTATATGGATCGATATTTCATTATAACTGACAATATGCTTTTGTCTGTCCACTAACTAAATAAACATGTATGACCTTGTTGTCACATGACATTACAACCAATCATGTTAAGATTGTCTATTTATTGGTTCATGTGTATTAGTCATTTTCATATATACTTTTGTACTGTACACTTACACATGCTTGTTCTCACGTTCGTACATTCGTACCATTCCACTCACACACTTGTGTGACATTTATTTTCCTTGTCTGGAAAATACAAGTATCATCGTAAACCTGGTGATCTTCTGATTTCCCTCTTTCCGCGTCAGGACTAATAACTACTCGACGAGTACATAACATAATTGGCGACGGGGAAAACTGTAATAACTCACTCAGCAGCAGTACATAACAACTACTCAACAAAGTTAACATAAACAAATATCTGGCTTAGAACAACTCACTCTCTTCTTCTTCTTCTTCTTCTTCAAATATTCATCACATAACACAACACAAAAGCATTGAAAATAAACCCACAGACAACAGCGGACTTGATGACGCCATTGCTGCAGAAGGTGTGGAAAGAGGGAAAGTACCCGAGGATTGGACAAAAAGGATACTTATTCAAACTACCAAAGAAAGGAGACTTAAGTCAATGCAAAAACTGGTGTGGAATTATGCTTCTGTCCATTCCAAGCAAAATACTAAGCCGCATCATCCTGGAGAAAATTAAAAAAGCCATCGATAAAAAACTTCGACCGGAACAGGCCGGATTCAGGAGAAACAAATCATGTACTGATCAAATCGCCACTCTACGGATCATCATTGAACAAAGCTTGGAATGGCAGTCACCTCTCTATCTCAAATTCATCGACTGTGAAAAGGCCTTCGAGAGTACAGCGTCGATCGAGAGGTGATTTGACAACTACTTCGCTACTACTGGGTGCCATCGACAATTATACATCTCATCCAACAGTTATACGACAATGCTGCACTGCATCCCAAGTAATCCACAACGGGAAACTTACGGAAGCCTTCGAAGTGAGGATGGGAGTGAAGCAAGCTGTCTGTCGACTATCGCCAACGATTTTCCTGATTGCAGTAGATTGGATAATGCGACAGACGGTGGCGGGCAACGAGGAAACAGGCATAAAATGAACTCATAAAAAAATGAACTTGGAGGATATGAACTTCGCCGATGATGATATATGTCTGATTTCACACAAACTGGAAGATATGCGAGTGAAAAGCAACAAGCTGGCCATAGAAGAAGCATCAAAGATAGGACACCATTCAAGTGAGCATAGAGAAAACAGAGGTGATGAAGATTCCTGGCCAACAGCAACATCAACAACAACAACAGACAACAATCAGCCCGCATAAATGGGAGGAACCTGAAAGAAACAACCTCCTTTACCTATCTACCTACCTGGGAAGCATCGTTTCAACTACAGGCGGACAGACCTGACGAGGATATCAAAGCCAGAATCGGAAAAGCAAGACAAGCTTTCATTAATCTCAAGTCTGTGTGGAGGTCAACAGCACTCACCATGAAAATGAAAATAAGATCCGGATTTTCAACTCCAATGTGAAGTCAGTCAGTGCTACTCACCATACGGATCAGAGACTTGGCGCCGTGTCATACAAAGCATCTCAAACAAACTTCAGGCCTCCATTAACAGTTGTCTTCGCTTAATACTACTCAAGATCAGATGGCCAGAAAAGATCAGGAACAAAGATCTCTGGGAGCGAACCAACCAGAAACCGATTGTGAAACAAATAGGCAGGAAGAAATGGAGATGGATTGGCTTGGCCATACTCCGAGGAAACCACCAAGTGAGTGACATCACTAGACAAGCCATCGCTCGAGTGGAACCCAGTTGGGAAGCGGCGAGTTGGTCGTCAGTGCGAGGGTGACTAGGAGGAGGTCATGTGAAGAGGAAATGAAAGCATGTGAGCAGACTTGGAGTGAAGTGGAAAAGTTGGCAGAAAACCGAAGGCAATGGAGACGCGTGACTGAAGCCCTATGTTCCTCTAAGAATTAAAGGATATAATAATAATAACACAACACAACATGTCACACTAGTAAATTATTACCAATTATACATTCATTCTTTCATTCCTAATTTATAATTTTCCACCAAAATTAAACACCTGACAACACTTAACGCTGAAACTTTAAAGCAGTGAAATTTCTTCAAACATAACACCTCAACTGGATGGATATTTCAACGTTAAACATTGAACAAAAGTGCAGCATTACCTCAACTGGACACACACACAATGGTCGGAGGACAAAAAACAGAATTGCAAAGAAACCACATGTGACGGAAGTGTGAACGAGATGCAGAATAATCAATCACATTGAGAATATTGAGAATTTAACGGATCTACGAATTCGTAAGGACCCAATGTATCTCCGTTACTGAGATCGATCTCTAACCATGTGTCACCCTCCCCCCCAACAGCCAAAAACTTCAAACATCTTACGATGTCGAGTGAAATTCACGTGTCGTAGATAATGCATTATCCCAATAACATAATCTTTGCCACATTTCTAAGGTAATTAACATAGGACAATGATATTGTGTACAGATAGTCTACAAGGTAAACGGTCTAACCCTAGTCTAGTTAGTATATTCACACACACACACATTTAATCCACAAAATCATCGAATATATCATACAACAGAGGGGAATAAAAAACTAACTACACTTACAAACACCTCGACATCGTTTCAGTAATTCCAAGTGGGTTAGAAAATTCACATTAGCATCGGGGACTAGACGTCGCCAATCATCTGCTGTTAAAGCAAACATACTAGAACCTGGCATATTGAACAACTTTTCACTCTTCAGACCTTCAATTCGAAATTGTTTACACGCCCAATTTATCCACATGATAACCTGAATATAAATAAACGAAAATGACATGATGAAGTCACACTGACGATCACTACTTAATGCCACACTGTTCATGGTGTGAATACTGGCAACAAATCTCTTTCTCAGTTTCATGAAAGCATGCAGGTATTAGAATTGATTTACTTTTAACTGTTCACTACAAATGAAACGACCCAAGCACAAAGCCTCAAGACGGTTAGCCAATAAAACATGACAACATAACAACATAACATCTACGACCAGCACGAGTCTTTGAAAATAAAAAGTCAACGCTTAGTGGATTTGAAAATGCGAAACGCAAGTGTGTTATCAAAGAGCATATGATCACTTCTCACATTCAGAAATCAATGCGCGTACACCGTTCTACCTAACACCACAAATTTCAAACTTATTCACATAATCAACTGTCTCAACGACCAGTTCAAGACAGAAATTGGTGGTATCCACAGGAACACGGATACCTAATTAACTAAGATCGTCTTCACACATATCATAGACACATTTTCAACTCCTGCAAATATGCAGCAAACATATAAAACTAGCATGACAATAACCCAAAATCATAACTGTCCTGACAACTATAACTGTCATGTGATAGTCATTTTAACGCAGACACGCATCACCAGCAGCTTACTGTATTCAATATTTATTTGCTTTCTACTGTATATGTAGATATGACTCATAAAACATTTTTCATATTGCCTTAAGCTCACACCTTACAAACAGACCGAGTTTTAAGACGGTAGACAGTGTGACACACGTTGCTAGGCTACTCAAAAACATTAGGAATATATCTGTCCAAATACTAGTTCACTCATAATGTGTGTGTGTGTGACGTCAATACCACTTGTGAGGAGGATGGATAAACACACTTACCTGCAGGCAAATTAAATCACATGACAGTATGAAGCATTCAAAAGACATGCAGCGACGAGTCAACTAGAATCACGACACAACTGTTGTAAAGTATTTCACTGTTGTACCAACCTGCCTTACATCCTCACTCATTAAATCTTATATCCACTCACTCGACAACTCTAACCTGACTAACACCACCAACAAGGAGCTCTTGTCAACTTTGCTAACATGCTAAAGTCTGTTCATTTTCGCCAACATTTATTCACACTTATGTTCAAATAAGCTCGACGATGCGACTCATTCATTCTTCAGCTACACTGACAAACTATTCAAACCACACTCTATCTTGTTAAACACAAAAACCAGTATTTTATGGAACATTCTAATCCCAGTAGTGTAAAACATACATACTGATATCGAATGGGAGAAATCAGGACGAAATAACATGAAAAATGCGCCTACCTGTGTTGAATTCCACTCGATAGGATCGCGTGGAATATCATTCATATCCATTAATCGACTATAATGATCATCTGGAACCCATTTCTTATCTTTTTTCCTCAGTACTGACTTTGACGCTGACGCTGCAGCAATATCAGAGGCTGCAGCTAAAGCCGCAGCGACTGTACGTGGAGATATGCATTCTAGTTTCGGACTTGACGGTTGTTGAGCATTTGATGACTGATCATTTTCACTCCTGACTTCCTCATTTTTCGTTGTGTTTGTATTAGATGGCTGGAGAAAACGAAGGGTAAAATGGAAGTTGGACATAGGAAAATAAATCGCTTCACCAAAATATTATTAATAATATATCAAATAGAAACGTGACTTTTCCCATAGTTTAGGCAAAAGATTCAAGATACACCAATTAGGGTCTGAAGATTGCGTCAATTAACTCTTACGTTTGAAGAATCTATCAAATTCCTTACTGCAAACACTTTCATGAAATGTGAGTTTTTGTAGAAAGCTAATTTACGCACACAGAACTATTTGTTCAGAGAATACGAATACTAGCCAGTTTCTCGCGAAACAATATACACGAACAGAGTGAATTTGAAAAGCGCGAATTCACGAGAATTATTTCATCAATCACATTTCCACAGCCTATATGAGTCATAATCCAATAATAAGTATGTGAAATGAAATCTCAATAATTTAATAATGCGCATTGTGGCATTAAGAACACAGTATTCAGCGAAGAGACTCTTTTCAACGAATTTATTATCAAGCTGTACAATCGAATATATATGGTTTTATTTTAAGAAATTATATCAGGTGAGGGAATTAGGTCAATGGTGTGAGTACATGAAATAATAATAATGAATGTAAAGTGGCAAGATAATTAATATCATATATAGAATAACACATAAGGTGTACAGATTTTGGAAAGAGGTAAATAATTATAAGATTAGTAGACGAATGTAAAATATTGTGTTCTCAAATGAAATCTTGCCACAACATCACGGATATCACTATCATAATTTATATCCACACAATATAAGTTATGACAGGCTATAAGAAAGCCGAAAAGTCATACACTTGATTTTTGGACAACATGCGCGGGAAATAAGCTGTCTCTATACCACTTGAAATTATATTTAGATTGTCATTCAACTTAAAAAACAGCAGGATATTATCAATATGCTCAAAAATTGAAGTCACATACATGGTGAGATAGGAGTTTCCGGTTGCCCGTGGAATATATGATGCCCGATTCCTCATACTTCGAACCAGTAACCCGTGATGGCATAATCACTCAAACACTCATTAAGATGATAATAATTATAAGGTGAAATTTACAAATCTGACCTACGGTGAAGTTAAAAGTCCATCTAAAGCCACAGTTCATTAAATTACGAATGTTACCAATATATAGAGTCCTTCAACTTCATCACCATCAAAAAGTTAAGGGTAAAGCTAATCAATAATGTCACTGGTGTTCATTCCATACCACTAAAGTGTCTTATTACATCATAATAAATATTTGGATGTAAAGACACTACTCTGGTTACTACAAAGTGGATGAGTGATAATTTTGATGTCGATTGTATCATTTCAAATGACTTTAATCTGACCGGAATAAATATTGATTAGGATCTCTACTACCAGATAGAGCATACACACAGGTGAGAAACACCATCCATCCATCGATATTTCACCAGTCAAGGTAGTATCATTGACTTACAAACACGGGAGGTATGATTTATTCCCAACTATATGATGATATCTCATCAGGTATGAATGTCAAATGAGATTAATAAAATTCGAAAAAATCACCATTAGTTACCAAATTCTAATCACTTAAACTCACCATGTCGTCCAGTCTACCCTTTGGAAATTAAAGTACTACTACTACTATCCGGCTTGTCCAAAAATTAAGACAGAAATGGAATAAATTAACTGGCTGAATAAAGTCATTCTCTGATTGGTCTAATGATAACAAGTCGAATTGTACCAATTAGAAAGTGAGTAGTAGTAGGTGGGTAACCTTGATGCTGATAGTCTACTGTACTGCAAACGCCAATCATAACAGACCAATTTAAAGGTGAATTTCATTTTGTCGATCTTAAGGTTAGTGAAATGATTTCGAAGGTGAATAATTAGTGACCTGCCTTTTTGTAAGGGTGAATACAGTCAGACTTTTCCGAATCAGGGGGTGTTAGGATTTTATAATGTTTAGTAGTAGGGTAGTAGTAGTAGTGCAGTGAGTGATAGAAGAAACACCAATGCTGCTAAATAGTCACTTAGATAGACCTTGATTACTGTCATTGAGAAGCTAGATATGAATGACTGAGAAACTAGTAGCATTGGATGCAATGATACATTTAGACTAGGCAAACCTAACGATGTTGTGTTGATTTCGCTGATATTGAATAATGTCAGAAAACTGACCGGGCTGTGACTACAAGGGCAATCTCAATTCGCCAAGAATAAGTCCAATAGGCCTACACATAAGACACACTAGTTGTAGGATGAAATGACGTGTTCTGTGTGAGTCAGTGCACGAAGCATGAGACTACATAAGAAGAGGGCCATATCGACACATCTACATTAGGAGAAATTTAAAAAGCCAACTTATAAATTGACACCACTTGTCTAAGTACTACCGTATAATAGTGAAAATCTCATGAGTTATCCAGAGGAGATTTTCATGTATCAGGCTGTGATTCACACAATTATTGTGTTTGAAGGCTTATGATAAGTTGAGGAGGATATCGAACATGAAGCCAGTTGTCGATAAGTCGAATGCTTAAGCTTACGATTTGCAACTCCGTGATAGTTGTTCAGAGCTATCAAACGATTCCAATTCAACCTCTTGATACAGAGAGGTGTGTGATTGACCTCTCCCTTCACAGGTAACGAGATGTGTTATTGTTGCTTCAAGATCTTTAGCATTATTGTGATCTTCAATCACTGAGGTAAAGTCATTATCAGGCTTCGCTTTTAGTTGTTGTTAATTGTTTGTTAACGCCACTATTATCTTCACTCTAATTTGTCATATCTCCTTCTTTTTACTCTCACCTCTCAAAACTTTCCACCATACAATGCATGATGCATTTCAATTGTTTGCTTTATACGAAAGTGACAGTGGTGCTGATACAATTATTATTATTATTTATTATTGTTTTCTTGGGTTCCTAGTGGAACATAGGGCTTCAACTCCACACCTCCACTTGCCACTTCTGTCTTCCTTCTGCTGTACTTTTCACCTCCATCCATGTTAGTCCATACTCTTTCAACTCCTCTTCACACGATCTCCATGTCACCCACCCTTGCACTGACGTCCCACTCACCGCTTCCCTTTCCCTCGGGTTCTACTCGAACAATGGCCTGGCACGCATGCGACGTCACCCAGCGGCGGCCTCCTCAGCGAGCTAGTGTCCGATCCATCTCCACTTCCTCCTGCAAATTTGTTGGGCGGGCTGATGCAACAATGGTTAGATATTTTTGACAATGTTCGAATCAGTGTTATTGCTCTGTCCCTCTCTCTCTCCCACAACTTCTCATATTCAGATTGGAAAGCATACATTCATTCACTAGTGAAATCCTCAGAGGAGTTGTAAGAATTACTTTTCATGTCTAATCAGTCCCTTATTAGGATTTATTTTGCAGAATCTTTTTCGAAGTGAGTCAATCGACATTTTCTATCGTGGTCACTGTCCAACTGCACAAGAAGCCGACATGTCAACCTGAGACCGAGCACTTCGGTCCAATCAATCGACGGGAAAATCAAAAATTCAATTCAATAATTGTTATTTCCTTGTTTACTACTCAAGTTCATAAAGTGGAGAAATTTCGTGAAGCTGAGAACTAACTCATTGGCTAACGAATAAGGAGGAGCATAAAGTTGTCAATTGTTTGGACTGTAAGCAGTGAACGAGGTATTGACGAAATAAAATCATTGTCATTGTCATTGCTGTTTTCAGTGATTTCTAAGCTTAAGATGAGACAGACTACGTGTGTTAGTCAAGAACTCAAAAGAGTTGTTATAAAATTATCCTCATGAGAAATGTACTATTAGAAGTAGTTTGTGTTATCTGTTTTCGTGACTGTGTACTATGGGGATTTGAAGTCATTCAGTAGGTGTTTTCTATCCTCTCTCTTCAGCAGATTTCAGTTTGCTAACGTCAGGATGGATGGAGGATGTTCCTCACCTGCATATTCGGTGTCTGAAAGTCAAGATACTAATATTACCAATGAAAATAATAAAAGAGTACTCATGATATACAGAATGGAATTCTCAGCATTTGTCACAATATTTCATCGGATTTGCTCAAAATATAAACAAAAATAAAAATTAAAACAAAATTACCCAGAGGTATTTGTCCACATCTACGATATAAAGTCCAAAATATTCGAAGGACGAATTCAGAATATTAAATATAATAATAATAATAATAATAACAGGAATAACAGTGAGTTTGTTTCAAACAGTATTGTCGATCCAGTTTGGAAATTTCAACATATTATACATTATTGAATCTAATGTTCTGTTGATATAGTATATTGTGGGTAGATACAAAATTAACATTTATAACACGACTTGTTCACACTTATGAAAAAATAAACAAATAAAAAATCGAGAGGATTATGAATATATGATGTACAATAACAATAAAGGTTGATGTTGTAAGGGTGCAGAAAATGGCTTATTTAATAGTGCAAAGAAGGTTAGTTAGTTAGTTAGTTCATGTCTAACACTATTTTCACCACATAAAGTACGTGCCACGAAATATGGTATAGTGGAATTGTTATTCTTAGACGAATGTGTATAAAGTCTTCTGAAAAGACTTCTTGTTTTACCTGAGGAGACACAAATTTGTAGATGCGGGTGCTGCAGTGGATGCTCACAGTTTGACAAAATTCCTTTATCAAACTTGTTGCATGACATCAAGTGCCTATCAGTGACAATGTCAACGATATGGCCCAATGGGATACCATTCGCCCTGCCGACAGATAGTCTTCAGAGTTCTACAAAGTATGACATAGTCTTTTATTTAAGCAATCCAGTAAAGAATAAGCAAGAGTGAATAGTAAAGAAGGATACTGCGGTAAATGAAACGGATTTCAATAATATAATTCCACTGAGACAGTATGTACCCCCAGGAAAAACATTTGTAATGTAAAATTTTATGTAAAAAGCATATCAAAAATATAACTTGTCATTAAATCACCATAGCAACGAACCATGATGCTTTGATTAGCTGATTACCGCCAATCATCTAGTATCAACAATTCAAATTTGCACCACCCACGATGGCGAGCCAACTAAAATGATGGCCACACTGCAAAACTTGCTGGATAGAATTCATTCTGTACCCAATAAAGGACTAGACTAGTTACTACCTAGTGCCTAATCAGTGTAATGGATTAAAGAAGTCATTGAGTTTTGTTGAAGCATTCTAACACTCACCAGATAAAGATTTTTAGCTCTTTAAAAAAAAGGGATGTGTCGATATAATCTCTCCAAAATACTAGTTCGTTTATAATTCTATGTCTTTTGAATAACGTAGTAATATATCGTTCAAAGTCAATAAAGGTAGTTTCCCCTTTTTCGTGCTACTAAACCTTAGTCAACTTGATGATATTAGATCTGTGGAGGCGATCGGCAGGAAGCCTTGCTTGATGTAGGTTTCGTGCTAGTTGGCACTTACCAGTCAGTCAGCAAGACGTATCTGCTACCTTGAAGAAACTCATGTCCCTTCTGAGATTCAAACCCGCGTCACCCAGTGAGTGGTGCAGTCAGAGACGTTACCATTGAGCTATTCCAGCTCGCGATTGACCTCCTGTAGGACTGTAGTGGATATTTCGATTTGACCCTAGTAATTATTGTGATGTGTCTAGTCCATTTTCTGGTACAGACTGAATTCTATTAGTCAGATTGTAATGTGGCCACCATTCTAGGTAGCTCACCATCACAGTGCACGTTGATTTGATGATATTAGATGGTTGGAGGCAGTCGGCAGGAAGCCTTCGACCTCAGTCTTCTTGTACTAGAAATGCTGATTTTTCTAAAATCATTAAGCTGACCGAGGTGAATCAACCCTTGTTCAATAATCCACGGACAGTAAGGCAGTATTAATCAATCAAAATAATTTGTAATGTTTGATATACATCGGAAAAACATCGCGAGAAATCAAAATCAGAATAAATGAACACCTTTAGAGAATCTGTTCAACGACCGAGGAATCCAGTCGAACTAGAAAAGCTTGAAAAATCATCAGCCATAGATTGGTCTACACGCGATGCTATAGAATCAGTCCACAAAACTGATTACGAGAATATTGAAATCGTCATCCAGAAACATTTCAGAAATCACAAAGAATATCTGATGTCTTCGGAAGCACTTCATATCATCAAATGGAATCTAAATTGTCTGAATAAGAATGATGGACTGAAACAGAATCTGAACTGGATACAACACCCGCCTCCCCCATGAAATGACAAAATCAAAACGAATGTGATGTTGTTGTCAAAACGAACTGAGATCACCCTTAATCTATGTAGAATTTTATTTATTGTTAGTGTACATACAGACTGGATGCAATGCTGTAGTGAGCTGCTGAGAATTCCATTCAGTATCACGAGTACTGTTTTGGAATAAAGCAAATTATTATTATTATTGTTATTATTATTGATACTATAAACAATATCGTTTCAACTACAGGCAGATGACAAGGATAGGGGTGTCGAAGGGAGGCGTGGGAAAGCAAGACAGGAGGCCTTCATCACTATGAAATCATTTTGGAAATCTGCAATCAGCATAAAGAACGAAATTCGGATTTTTAACACCAATGTTAAGTTGGTCACTTCCTCTGTATGGGTCAGAAACCTAGCGTATCAAACAAATTACATTTCTAACC